ATCTATCTATCTATCTATCTATCTATCTATCCCTATCTCTTCTTTTTCTCCTCTTATCTATCATCTTCTATCTCCTATCTCTGTCTGTCTGTCTGTCTGTCTATCTATCTACCTACTTACCTACCCCATCACCTTTTTCTATCTATTCCTATCTCTATCTCCTATCTTTTTCTATCTCTATCTCTTCTTTTTATCTATCTATCTATCTATCTATCTATCTATCTATCTATCTATCTACTATCTATCTTTTATCTACTATCTATCTTCTAACTATCTTCTACCTACCTATCTATCTATCCATAGCTAGCTAATCATATATATATCATATTATCTATCTATCTATCTATCTATCTATCTATCTATCTATCTATCTATCCATCCATCCATCCATCCATCCATCCATCCATCCATAGCTACTCTATATATTATATCATATCATATCTATTTATCTATCTATATCTATATAGTGTGTGTATGTATATATGTGTGTCTGTATCCATTTTTCACACTTATGACAGTTGCAGTGTCCCCGGGGTCACGTGATCCTCTTTTGTGACCTTCTGACAAGCAAACTCAATGGAGGAAGCCAGCTTCACTTAACGACCGGGTGACTAATTTAACAACTGCAGTTATTCACTTAATAAATGTGGCAAGGAAAGTCATAAAGGTTAACAAATATCTCACTTAGCAACATAAATGCTGGGCTCTCTCTATATCTATCCGTCTCTATCCATCTCTGTCTTTCTCTATAGATTTATCTATCTATATCTATCTATATCGATTTATCTATATCTGTCTGTCTGTCTGTCTGTATCTGTCTATCTATCTGTCTATCTATCCTATATATGCAATATGTATAGAGGGCATATATTTATTTATTTATTTTCCAGATTTTGTTCTATTTATTAATTTATTTGATTCTTTTTGTTAGTCTTTATTGTTTTTTTTTAAAAAAATATGGTTGTACATTCTGTAAGCCACCTCGAGTTGCCATGGGCAGCAATATAAATTCAATAAATAAATAAATAAATAAATATATAGCAGAATACACACACACACACACACACACACAGAGATACTTTTTTTTAAACCCATCCAGGGAAACCCCACTGTTTCTGCCTTTTCGGACCCCAGGTGAGATATGGCCAAGAGTAACCTAAAAAGGAATTGCTCCCCCCACGAGGTCATTTATCCTGGCCTCTCCTCCCTCGGTTGGTCAAGTCCTTTGCCCTGGCTTAAGAATCCTCAAAAGACGAGTGAAACCCATTGTGCTTTTCCAAATGCCAGGTGGTCTTTAATAACAAAGAAACCTTCTGAGCCAAACTTTCAGCCCCCACACTCCCTCACCCCCCGTGTCTCGTTTTCACAGGACTACCCAGTTCAGCCCTGAGTTCAGGTGAGGTCTTCTTAAAAGTCACACCTGTCAGCTCTGTTCAAGCAACTGTGTGGAGATAGAGCGGTGTTTCCACTTTAAGAGGGGGTGGACTTCAACTCCCAGAATTCCCCAGGCAGCATTCTGGGAGTTGAAGTCCACCTCACTTAAAGCAGGCCAGCTTTGGAAACCGCAGCTATAGAGGACTACAAACCAGGCCCCTTTCCAAAGAGTCACTGAGAGAAATCCCTGAACTAAATCCAGCATTTGCGATCCGTTGTTGGCCCTTCCAGGCAGATCACAGATCAGAAATCAGCTGGTATCTCCTCAGGATCCCATCTCGGCAACAGGTGTATATTTCCTTCCCCCAAGGAGCTGCCTAGAGCAATCAGAAAAAAAATAAAAATAAATGGCAGAAATGATGGGAGAGAAACTATAAATCAACAAGGTCAACTGCATAGAAAGAAAGTCGGTATAAGAGGTTTCACAGATGGCATTTTGCGCCCGGCGCCCGGTTGAAATGGAATGGAATTATTGTATATGAAATAAAAAACTTTTTTTTTTGGTGGGGGGGGAAAGGATGTTTATAAAGATAAACCAGCTAAATGCTGGAAATGCTATCAGACACCTAGATGGTATTACCATATGTGGTGGTCATGCATAGAAGCCAAAAAATATTGGACAAAAATACACACACGGTTGGAAAAGATGATACGTTGATTTAAAACCTGAAATATTTCTGTTGGGGATGATACCTGAAGCTTATAGTAAAGAAAAGGCATACTTAATCATCCATGTATTAACTGCAGCTAGAATTGTGTTGTTTGCAATGCGACGCAAGCTTTGTGTTCCCGCGGGCCATGTGGGCGGCGCAGCCTTGTGTTCCCACGCAGCCTGGATTAATTGCTTTGGGGGGGACATTTCTCTGCGGACCACCAACATTTTCTCGTGGACCACCTGTGGTCACCAGTGGCCAGGGGTGGGATTCAAATTTTTTAACAACCGGTTCTGTGGGTGTGACTTAGTTGATGGGCATGGCTTGGTGGTCATGTGACTGGGTGGACATGGCTTGGTGGTCATGTTATTGGCTGGGCATAGCCAACTCAATGTCAGTCACATCGAGGCACGCATCTCCTCCCCTGGCTTCTCGTGACTGTGGGGATGCTGCAACAGTCATAAGTGTGAAAAACGGTCATAAGTCACTTTTTTCAGTGCCATTGTAACTTTGAAGGGTCACTCCACACAAGCAAAGTACCAGCAAAGAAGGGGGGAAAACTCCAGAGAGGTTCCTGAGACAGGAAGTCTAGTCCTGCCGAGAATGTAATAAGAGTTAACGGAGAGGCAGTTTCTGTCAGCAACACCAGAATGTTTCCTTCCTGCCTGCCTTACAGGATTAGCCCTGTAATTTCTTCTAACAACCGGTTCTCCGGACTGCTTAGAATGTTAACAACCGGTTCTAGCGAATAGGTGCGAACTGGTAGAATCCCACCCGTCCCCAGCCCACTGGTTGACGACCACTGGCATAGACTGACCCGACTACTCAGGAGGAGAGCAGCCCGCCCCTCTTCACACAAGGCACACCTGGGGACTGAGATTTAAGGAGATGTTGTGGGGAGGGGCATTTGTCGGGAACAAACACTGAATTCTCGGAGTGCTGAATGCCAAAGTTTGAACTTTCCTGGATTCCTTGCATCCTTTCTGGATTTCTTGTTTTGCAACCGTGGTGTTCACAGCATTAGGCTAGATCATTTGCAGCCAGAGGCTGCTTGAGGGGTGTGTGTGTGTGTGTGTGTGTGTTTGATCACTTCGCTCTGGGACTTGCCAGAAACATGGGAGCGTTTGGGGGAATTTGGAGCAATCAAGGGGTGGTTTGAACTGCCAGCTGCCTGTGTTATTTCTGTGCCCTGTCCCGAGCCATCACAATAACAACAACAACAACAACAACAATAAGTGGCGAGTATGAACTATAAAAAAATAAGAAGTATTTCAAATCATATGGTCCTTGATTTTATATCCAAACATATCCTTTCCTCTTTTGGTTTTTGAGGTAGGACCCCAAATCCCTTTTTTAGTCCTGCCACACATCCCTTCTTTGCTCAAAGTAAATCATGTTGTGTGTTGTTGTGTTTTAAACCTACCTTGTACACAGGATCACAGTCGGGTCCGGTTAATTCAAGCACGTGATCGAGATCCTGCTGCATAATAAAACAAGTCCCATCACCTGCAAACAGGTAAGCAGTTAAATTCTTGCATTTGATTCCTGCAATGCTAGTTGTTTTATACTTATACCAGCTTGGTGCCCATGCTTCGCTACGAAACTATGTGGTTGGACTTAGTTTTGGGGGAGGAAAATAAGGGGGGAAAAAATTCTGCCTCTGCCTGCCAGCCTCCATCGGTATTCACCTGGCTGGCGTCCTGTCAGTGTGGGAGAGAGTTGAGGGCTGTTTGGAAACTGAAACAGTCTTTGCTGTGTGAGCAAGGAGGAGACAGCAAGGAGCCTGGGCATGGCTTAGCTCAACTGTTCTGTACTGAAGCTGCTTGGTGCTCTGAAGCTGAACCTCCTCTCCTCTGCTTGTGTTTTGCCTTTGGAACAGATTTCTTTTCAGGTGGGGAGGGGGAGTAGAACTCCTTAGCACCAGATCGTGTGAAGAATAATAATAATAATAATAATAATAATAATAATAATAATAATAATAATAATTATAATAATAATTATAATAATAATTATAATAATAATAATAATATAGGAAATACGAATGCTCTGATGGTCATTTCAAAACATCCTTTCTTAATGGGCACCTAGAAGCCAAGAGGAACATATGTGCCAAATTTCAAGTTTGTAGGCTTTACGGTTCTGGAGATTTTATGATGATGCGTGAGGGGTATTTCGCTTTTAGATAGATTTCTATTTTTCTTAAGTCTCCCGTCACTTGGGATAGCGAGATTGGCAGCATATACATTTAATAAAGGACTATCTTTTCCCAATTATATCTACCTGACCAACCAGAGCAGGAAGGCAGGGGAGGTTAGGGTTCCCCTCTCTTAAATAGAATAGCATGAATTCTTTATTGGCCAAGTGTGATTGGACACACCAGGAATTTGTCTTGGTGCAAATTCTCTTGGTGGACATATAAGAAAAGGTACATTTGTCAAAAAATAAGAATCATCAGGCACAACACTTAATAATATTTATAGGGTACAACAAGAATAGAATAGAATAGAATAGAATAGAATAGAATAGAATAGAATAGAATAGAATAGAATAGAACAGAGTAGAGTAGAGTAGAGTAGAGTAGAGTAGAGTAGAATAGAATAGAATTCAATTCTTTATTGGCCAAGTGTGATTGGACACACAAGGAATTTGTCTTGGTGCAAAGGCTCTCGGTGGACATAAAAGAAAAGATACATTCGTCAAGAGTCAAGAATCATGAGGTACAACACTTAATAATAGTCATAGGGTACAATAAAAATTAGAATAGTATAGTATAGTGTAGAATAGAAATATAGAATAGAATAGAATAGAATAGAACAGAAATATGGAATAGAATAGAATAGAATAGAATAGAATAGAATAGAATTTTATCGGCCAAGGGTGATTGGACACACAAGGAATTTGTCTTGGAGCAAATGCTCTCAGTGGACATAAAAGAAAAGATACATTTGTCAAGAATCATCAGGTACAACACTTAATGACAGTCCTAGGGTACAATAAGCAATCAAATCCTACTAGGAAACAGTCCATATAAATCATAAGGATACAAGCGACAAAGTTAAAGTCATACAGTCACAAGTGGGAGGGGATGGGCGATAAGGAGTGATGGGAAGATGAATAGTAACAGTAGTGCAGACAAGGTCCATCTGTTGGGACCAAGAAGAAGGACCTTCTCTGTGGTGGCTCCTTTCCAGTGGAACATCAATCCTGCAGAGACAAGACTGGTCCCATCTTGATATTCTCTCCAAATGCCCTGAAGACATGATTCTGCCAAAGGGCTTGGCAACCCCAGGGGGATATGGGGTCCATCAAGAGGTTGGTTGGACTGTGGTTACCAGGGGTGTGTGTTGGGGGTGCTATTGGGTTTTGTATTGGAGGTCCACCGTGAGTGAATGGGCATCCCTATAGTTTTCCTTCCCAAATAAATCATAAATGAGTTACCTTGGCTGGCAATAAATCCGTCTTTATAAGGCGACAGCGAAAGGACTGGGGCGCCTGACCTCTGGATCACTCGAATGGGAGCTCTGGAAAACGGAGGAAAAAAAATCTAATACTTAAAGGTTTATGGAGATGCTTCGTCATCCAGGTCATAACCCCAAAGAATAGAATAGAATAGAATAGAATAGAATAGAATAGAACAGAATAGAATAGAATAGAATAGAATAGAATAGAATAGAATAGAATAAGAAATCAAAATAGAATAGAAAAGAATAGAAAGTAGAGAATAGAATAGAATAGAAAACATGGAACATGAATAGAATAGAATAGAATAGAATAGAATAGAATAGAATAGAATAGA